AAGATAGACTTTTGGAAGAATTAATTATTGTGTATTCTGAGTGCTACTTACATTATTTTCTTACACCAGTGTGTGGCTTTAAAAAGAATACCAAGAAAACATGAAATAAAATGTCTAGAGACAAATGATATCAGGTATCACTTTAATTACCAGTAATGATAGTTTTGCTGTATAGCAGCAATTACATGAAGTTTTATTGGATAAATACCTCTGCATTCTCTGCAGTAAGGAGGGCTTTATGGATGCTGCAAAATCTGTGAAAATGAATTGCCAAGTATTTGTAGCCATCTAAGCAAAAATTTGACAAAAATGGCCCAAAATTTCTCATTTGAGTTAGAAACTTAATTAAACATACAGTTAAATAGATGTTGACTCCTGGTGCAATTGTTACTTGCAATTTCTTGCTGCAGTATTTTCTTCTAGGGCTGGAGAACTTTAAGTATTAGAGAGCTAGGTTTTCTTTTGCAAGCTCTACATCCATCTTAATCCTAAATTCCCCTAACAATGTTCATCTTACCTTTTCAGTTCAGTGACTGATTTCTGCATTGTCAACCACCTGTTTCAAGCTTTATTATACATTTTCTGTGCCTGTTCTGGATGTAATCAGAAAATGTCTGCTTTAGTCTAACCAATAGCATTCACTCTAATAGGCTGGTGCCACTTATTTGTTACAGATTAGCATGGTTTCTGTTCCGTTTAGTCTAATAAAATTAGTCATTAAGTTACTCAATTAGGCATCTTACAGGTTTCACTTACCAACCAATTGGTTCACTGCCATAGCCCTGCTCCATTTCTTTGTATTGCTTTTTCTTCCATAATTCTAGACCCCAATTATTCTTTATGTGGACCTCCAAACCTGTTAAGAGGTTCTCCCATCCTCTGGTCACCTAAGAAGTATTATCATTTTAGTCTTCTCAGGCGATAATCTCTGTGAGTAGTGGTGACACTGCATAATTTCCTGGTCCTCACACAACATTTCCTTGGGCTTCCATTTCTGGGCATTCAGCACAAGCCAGACACTTATAAAAGGCTTCTCTGACCTTCTTATCAGGCCCTTCTCCCCATTATTCCTGGTGCTGCTGCTTTGTCTCCAGCTAACTCAAGCGTCCTTAAAAGTTTTCGTCATTAACGAACAAAAACTAAAACTCTTATGTGTATTTTTAATTTTTGAGTTCCTGTCCTACAGAATCACAATTTAAGACCTGGATATTTGATCTTGTTTCAGTGACATATTCCCTGGCTTCACAATCTCCTCAAAAGATCTGAGGTATGTCAGGCACTTCGAAGTGCAGTCTCATATTACTTTGATAAACCTTGTAACAAATTTTATTCTTTCCATTTAAATAGTTGAGAAAACAGAGGTCCAGAAAGTGGAAGTAAACTGCCTAAGATGCAAGTCTCACTGCTGAGTTTTCTGATTTCAAGCTAGCGTACCTTCCACACTATAACAGTTATGGTAGTAAATTTGGCATACAAATGTTAAACCCTATTGACATGAGTATTCAGGCCTCAGTTGAAGGTTATGTTTAATCATTCATGAACAGCCTTTGAGAGGAGTACATTTTATCCCTTGATTTAACACAGGATTCCATACAGTTACAGATGAACACATTTGAATTTACTTATGTAATCTTGATGTTTGCTGCACATGAATGAAATTTAACAGTTTGTTCCCTTCATCAAAGGCATTGAACATTTAATGTACCAAAAAGACATTAAATGTTATACTCACGGAATTTAGCTGCTAAGCATTGTAAAGAACTGCTGACATTTCCGTTAAATTAAAAGAATATTTTTTAATTGATTAAAATTGGTGATTGCTTTTAACACATTTAGATAGTAGTTTATTCCTTTTCTTTATTAAACTTTGTTAAGCTTTATTAAACTTTGATCTTTACAAGGAAGTAACATGACCAAAGTACCAAAAAGAGTAAAACAAACTTGTTTTTTGAAAAGTCTGTGAACAGGTACGTGGTTCAAGAAAGTAATTGTCAAGCAGTCTATGTAGTTTTCTAGTTGTCATTGTAAGTAATGACCCAACTTCTCTATAGGCCCAGATATACCATTTCCCACTAAGTTTACTCAAAGATGAGTTTTCATCACTCATTCTCCATTTTGGTTACTTCAGCAACTGAGGGAAATTTACCAAGCAGTCAAGGTGAACATTAACCCAGAATACAAAGAAAGAGTAGGCCTGCTTACTGATGACCTTGGTGTGTGTGGCTTCCAAGAAGAGCAAATTCATTATATGCCTTAGGACTCCTATGATTCTTGGATCTCTATTTTACTCTCCTAGGTAAGTTTTATATTACAGATATTTAATATATTTGGCTAAATTATGAATTACTTAAGAATAGAGACTGTGTCTTCACTTTTAATCCCTCTTATGTCCTAGAATGGCATTATTGCTAAATTGAAGTGTGGTTTTGGGCTGAGAATTTGCCCCAGTCTAGATTCAACATTGGAAGACGTTATGTATCAAGTAATTAAAAGTGTGATTTTGAGGATCAAACCTGAGTTCATGTATTGCTCTCTTAGTAACAGTGTAACGTAGAGCAAGCATTGTATTTAATCACTCTGAATTTCAGTTTTCCCATCTGTACAATTTAATAATTATATACATCTCATATGGTTGCTGTAGAGAGTAAACAAGACAATGTACATGAAGTAGCCTAGCGAGGAGTCAGCACTCATGACCACTATTTTACTATTATTTCTGAGGATAGTTCTAGAGACCAACAAGAGACACCTTTTTGAATTCATTCCATGTGAACTGGACCATGCCCAGGGATTTTCAAGGATGGCCATAAGACCATACTGGGTGAATTACTTGGTATGCTGTCATGGCTTTAACAAAAGCAGTCAAGTGTATTCCAGTCTTGCACCAATCTGGGAACCAACTGTTAGGATAGTCTTCTTGTGCTCAAGAGCCTGAAAAGATGTAAGGGACTGTTACTCCAACACTGAATATTTTAAAAAGCTATCCATGTATTTCTACCATTCAGTCAAGGTTATTATACCTAGAGAGGCAGTTTGATTTTCCACTTTATGCTGATTTGTTATATAAAATAATTATATAAATTTATTTTCATTCAAACCAGTTCACTAAAAGTGTGTGTATTTAAAGTTATTTTTGGATATGAACATTGGTGGGGAAATAATACTTGATTTCAGTTTAGAGTTTAACAAACTCAGTTGATTTTAGATTGCAATTCATGGTTCAGTTGAAGTTTTTACTACCTCAGTATTCCAAATACCAGATTCTGACAAAACGTTTGGTCACTGAGCCATTCAGATCTTTCCTCTGCTGATGTGATGAACAGTGGCCAGCAAAGAAAACCTCCGCTCCCTTAAATCTATTTTTAGGTGTCCATTAGATTATGAATGTCTGCCTGTATGCAAATATTACATGTCTTCTGCCCATTTATACTATTTTTTTGTTTCATATAACTACTTTAATATTTTCTTTTTAATTTTTTTGGTGCCACATTTGGATGATTTTTAATCTTCATATCCAATCAGAAACACTGGCACTTTTTAGAAACAATGAAATACAAATTTAAAAAACCAAATTATAGTCTTGCTAATTATAGAAAAAAACATTCATTAGAAGAAATACTGACTGCTAGAAAGGAAGGAAACTTAGAAATAACTAAACCTCTCCTTTTATAAGATGGAAAAAACTGAAGCCAAATTTGGTGGTAACTTATTCAGGGTCTTTAGGTAGAATGCTAAAGGGGCGCGTAGAACTTCTGACAACCGAATTCTGCCTCCTGAACCCCCGCCACTACTCAGTGGCCCAAAAAGTGCAATTATTTCTTATTTTGGAGTTCTCATTTTTCATATTAACAGTAGTTTATAAGTATTTAAAGATGTATTATTTGCCATTTACAGAATAAACATGGATAAGGAAAAATAGCTTTATTTTTAAAAGAAATCAATTTTCTATTTAAAGCATACACGAGATAGCATCTTTCATGTAGTCCTAAGCTTACTTATGCTCATTGTAATATTCCAGTGACATTCTGGACATAAACTTCAAGTATATCACTATATACTTATTGTTAAATATCAAAGAAAGCTACTGACTGTGAGGGAAAAATTTTAGTAATTTTTTTTTTTTTTTTTACCTACCCTGAGATAACTCATCCCACAGTATATCTGGGATTTAGCTGAACATTTCCAAATTTTAACAAAATTTTTTTCTTTCCAATGCATGCATTGATATGCTCAATTCTCCACTACAATCCAGGTAAAATAATGATAGTGTTTGAAAACCAGATAGTGAAAACCAGTATGTTTTCTAATACTGCCCATGATAGACAGAGTGAAATCACAGCTTAAAGAGTAGCCAGGAACCTATACTGCAAACATTTGGCTTCAAGTATCTTGCAACAAATAGCTACTAATATGACTATACATAGCACATAGAACACCACAGTCGTGGACTGTAGTATGCCTGTAAAACCCCTTAAAGCATTTTTTTCTCAAACTTTTTGTTCATTATTACCCTCCTTCCCAATTACAGAAATTAAATTCAAATTAAATTAAATAGTTTCAACTACAAATTTCTTCCCAATGAGAGAAATTAATACTGAGGAATAAGATTTTGTTGGATAGGGTGATTTTGGAAGTCCTAGGGCATATAAAAAGTAACAATGCTCAGCTATATTTAGTCAGACCAATTAAGCCAAGTCTCTGGAGGATATGTTCTAGGTCGGTGGGTCTCAAACTGTAGTGTAAATTAGAATCACCTGATGGGCTTGTTAAACCACAGATTGGTAGGCCCCACTCTCAGAGCTTCTGATTCAACAGGTTTTGGGTGGGGCCTACAATGTGCATTATCAAGTTCTCAGGTAATGCTCTGCTATTAGTCTATGGATCACACTTTGAGAACCACTGAACTAGGCATATGTGTAAGAGTGACTGTGTGTGGGAGTGTGTGTCCCCAGGTGAATTCTAATCACAAAACTATTGTATAGAAAATATCAATAAGGTTCTAAGTTTTAGGATACTAAGATTTTAATATAATAAGAGTTGTTAAACATCAAGATGATTTATAGAAAGGAGACCTATGGGCAAATATCAACTTCTTGGTCAATAAAACTCGTTCCTTAAAGTCTTTTACAGTATTTTTTGACTTTTTTTTTTTTTTTTTTTTACTGCTTATATGGGTCTTCACTTCATTTTCCAATAAAGACAACTTATTTGGATATCAGTGTCTCATCGCTTGTTAAGACCAGTGGAGGATTTGGATAGTAGCCAGCTGTTTTTGAATTGCTTGAAGAGAATCTTGTAAATTTGTAGTCCAGAGGTAATTCTGGGGAGGAAAAAAAAGTTTAATTATTGCACAGGCCTCTGAATGCCTTTCATAAACAAATCAAAACTTGATATTCACTGATAGTAAAACTTATTTTTGAAACCTGTAAAATTTTAACATTTCTTTTGCTCCTTCAGTAGGTCTCTGTGTAGCTATTATTATAAGGTTAAAAATGTGTATAAACCAATCACCATTGTAACATATATATATGGCTAATAAATACAAACTTTTACAACAGCTATAAAAAAGGCTTCTGGGCATTTAAATGTGAACGAGATAACCATGTCTAACAGAATATCCACAAATACAGAAACATTACTTGAATATAAGGTTTCAAGAGGCAAAAGGGATGTACTAAGTTATTTTTCACTTCCTATCTCATTTAAAACAATTTAATTTTATTCTTTCTCCCATATTACAGAAAAGGTCTATCAAAGGTCACTTAGGATGAAGAGTTAGATATCTTTCCCTATACAATTTATAATAATGCTTAAGGCAAATCACATTTAGAGATACCTCAAATCATCCCCAGAGCTCTAACTAGTGAGTTTAATTTTAATACTCTGCACAGAAGTTAATACAAAAATATGAAAGCTTATCTGAATAAAAATTAAAAAAAAAATCTCCCAGGCCCTCCTCAGAGGATCATGTAACTGGTGAATGAGACCTAATAATCTTCTTCATGGTCCCAGGAAGAAGGTTACTAAGAATAATCTTCAAATGCTTAGCTAAATAAGAATTTTAATACATACAACATGGCAACTTTCTTCAATTGAAGGAAGAAGAATCTGAAGTTCAAAAAAATTAACTAGACTTCTAACTTCAACTAGAAAATCTGGATAAAATATAAACATGAGACTGAAGTCACCAGAGAGCTAAAGAGGCAACCAAGACTTAAGATACAATTCCTGGGAAGGAGGAACCAGCGGAGAGAGGAGCTAGCACTAAGCTTCAGCTTTTCTCCTCTGGTGCTGGGATTCTGGCTGGTGGTAGGGGTTACTATAAGCAGCAGAAAAACCAGTAGAGATTTTGGCAGTCTTGCAGGGCTGCAGAGACAAAAATTGAGGGGCTAGGACCACTGTAAAGGAAGGGTTAGAGAACTGGACTCTGGCGGTTTTCTCCTCAAACCCTTTGCCAAATGCTGAAGGAAACTTGGAAACTAAGAATCCAAGCGGAAAAGCATATGCCTGTATAAAGGAGAGTGGATGTTTTCTTTCTTAGGCATTTTCTTGGTATTGTGAAAATGGAGAGATTAAGTTCTGACCTGAGAGAGGACAGGGGACTTTGTGAGTATCTTAGACTGGCAGTTATATATTTCTGAGAACTAAGAGTTTGTATTTATGAAGTGATCTCTCTCATGCTAATCATTTTTCCCCTTAATATCTACTGTGTTTCATATTAATGCAGTTACTCTGTCTTTTGGTTACTGTTAGCATGGTATTATTTCATCCATCTTTTGATATTTAAACTTTCTGAATCCTTATGTCTTAGATATATCTCTTATAAACAACCTTGCACTTTGGGAGGCCGAGGTGGGCAGATCACGAGGTCCGGAGATGGAGACCATCCTGGCTAACATGGTAAAACCCCATCTCTACTAAGTGCAAGGATTACAGGTGTGAGCCACAGTGCCCGGCTGAGTATTGTTATTTTTTAAAAATCAGCTATTAATTGGAGTATTTGGTCACATATATTTAATGTAATTACTTCAGGTTTAAATTAAACATTTTACTAAATGCTTTCCATTTGTCTTGCTGATTCTTAATATTCTCTCATCCCCTTTGTTTTCTTTTAGATTCTTAAATTATTTTACATAGTAGGTTGGTATATGTATATCATCACAATTCTTTTGACAGTTATTTTAGAGATTACAACATGCATTTCCGACATCAAAATTGAACATAGTCTTATCCTTAATTGTTTAATTCTAGCATGTTAGAACATGTTAATTTTTGCTGCCCCACTCTGGCATATACATGCCATTGTTGTCAGGCATTTTAATTCTCTATTTATGTAAATCCCATGGGACTTTAATTTTTATTGTTTCAAACACTAAGCATTCATTTTTAATTCATACATTTATACCATATACTTATATCACATACATTCTTCTTGCATTTCCAGTCTTCCAACATGAATTATTTTTAATTGTACCTGGAGAACAATAATCTTTATTTCCTCTAGTGCAGGTTTCTGGATATACATTTTCTTTATTATTCTGTCTAAAAATATTTTACTTCTTTTTGTTTTTTTTGAGACAGAGTATTGCTCTGTTACCTAGGCTGGAGTGCAGTGGTGTGATCCCAGCTCATTGCAACTTCTGCCTCGCAGCTTCAAGCAATTCTCCTGCCTCAACCTCCCGAGTAGCTGGGATTACAGGCACCCACCACCACACCTGGCTAATTTCTGTATTTTTAGTAGAGACGGGGTTTCGCCATGTTGGCCAGACTGGTCTCAAACTCCTGACCTCAGATGTATCGATCCACCCGCCCGCCTCGGCCTCCCAAAGTGCTGGGATTACAGGCATAAGCCACCAAGCCCAGCCAATATTTTACTTTTATTCTTTAAAAAGTTTACTGGGTATAGAATTCCATCAAGATTCACATGATTTTCTTTCAGCAATTTAAAGTCATCATTCTATTGTCTTTGACTCTTCTCTGTTTCTGATAAGTCAGATGTCAATCTGTTATTTAATCTATATTTATGCTCTTGATTGCTTTTAATATTTAATTATCTTTGGCATTTAGCAGTTAACTCTGAATTTCTTTTTATTCATTTTGTTTCATTTCTTTGGGCTTCTTAAACCTTTGGCTTATTTTTTTCCCATCACTTTTCTCTCATCTCCCTTATTCTCTCATCTCCTGGGACTCCAATCACAGATGACCCTCAGTATCTGCAGGGCACCCCTGTGATACCAAAACCTGCGCATGCTCAAGTCAAAAAATGGCATAATATTTGCATTAAACCTACATACATCTCCTGTATACTTTAATTCATCACTAGATTACTTATATCGAATACAATGTAAATGCTATGTAAATAGTTATACTGTATTTTTAAAAATTTATAACATTTTAAATTGTTGTATTATGTTTTATTGTTTTTTTCCTCTGAATAATTTTTATCCACAGCTGGTTGAATCTGAAAATGTGAAACCCGAGAATACAGAAGGCTGGCTGCATAGAAACCTTACTCCTTCTCACTATATCTTTTATGTGAGACTGAGTCTCTCTTCTGTACCTTTTATGATTTTTCTCTTACTGTTTCATTCCAAATATGTTCTTTTGACCTAATTTCCAGTGCACTAAGTGACTTTTCATCTCTGTCTAATTTGCTATTAAATCCACCTGTTAAGTTCTTAATTTCATTTTTTAAATATTTAAATTTTGCAGTCTCCATTCTTTTTATATCACAGTTTATACCATAGTTTTTGTCTCTACCAAATTTCTCATTCCTTCCGTTTCTGTATTTGACTATAATAAGCATGGTTATTTCTGTTAGTGTGGTCTCATATCTTTATGTGCCTGGCTATTTTTCATTATGTGCTGAATTTTATATGAATTGTTTTTAGAAATAATTTGAGTCCTAGAATGATGTTATCCTCCTCAAAAGAGAATCTATATTTGTTTCTACTAATATATTGGGGCACTACTAATTTGGAATCTCCTCAATCCAATTTTAGGTATTCAGCTGATTTCAAGCTGAGTTTTAGTTCCTGTGAAAATGGAGATTTCTTCTCAATTCATCCTTATTCTAAAGTAAAGCACTTCAGGGCCTCAACATAGATTGAGGGAGTTCACCAGACCCACCCCTCCTCAGGCAGGCCCTCTCCTCCAGTTCCTATTCCTGTAGATTCATGAAGTTACTGAAAGGCCCACTCACCCTCTCTGGTGCCCTCTCCAGAATCAGCAAACACCCAGGGGGAAAAGTAGCCTCAAATGCGAGGTTCACCTTACTGGGCCTCCTCAGCTTGTCCTGGTAACTCTTCCCTAAATTTATAATATGCCTCCAAGCTGAATTTAAAAAAAAATAAATTGTCGAGCTTTTGTAGTTGCCTCCCACAGAAGTGCTGGTCCTAGTTACCTAGGTTCCAGATCTAGAAGATGTTTTCCCCCAAGATAAATCAATGTTGTGGGAAGATTTCTTTTTCTTAAAGACAAGAATTCTAGTACTGGTCATTGTTGTCTAGTAACAGATGAAGCTTTATAGGTATGTTCCCCCTTACCTGCAATTGCTTCAATACTTGGAATTGCAATCGTGCTGTAAGTACTGATTCTCTTACAAGACCATGTATAAACCAAGGAGTCTTCTGTGTTTTCCAGTCCCCAAACTGAATCAATAAAAAAAGAACCCCATTTTTTAGATGAAGTATTTAAAGGCTTTGCTTTTGGTCCCTGAAACAAGAGAACAGAATAATTAAAATGGTGATTAACTAATGTTCAATCTCATAACTTTTTTGTCTATGAAGTAAATAAAAACTTTGAAACCCTGTAGGAATCTACAAATAGGCTTTGGGCACACATTAAGTTTTTGGAACAGGAATAATATTTCCTCCTTATTATGAAGTATCCTTTATTTTAAACAGAAACTAGCTTTTTATATGGTCAGTTAGTTATTATCTGAAAACTAGCCCAAACAGAGCAACCTAGAAAGAGAATTTTTTTTCCTACAATAAAAATAACTCTGTAATTCTATTATGATGATGATGATGTCTAAAGGGTAGTTAAAAAACAACTTGGTCTAATTTTCTTATTTAGTATTTATTTTTTAGAAAGGAATGGCCGGGCGCGGTGGCTCAAGCCTGTAAT